CCATACTCCTTTGACATCTATAGATCTCTTCTGAGGGCCACTGTTATTTTTATTCCACATTTTCTGTTGGTTGATCATAAAGCCTTAAGACAAAGATTGGGTTCTTATGAACTGTAATGTATTAATGAACCATTTATGTTATATCCACCTTTTGTCTAAACTTGTTAGCGACCCTGTACTGTTCTCTTGGTTAATTTGATTAAATTAACTGTGCCTTATATTTCAACCACCAAAGGAGAAGTATTTCAGCTTGTTGTTTTGCCCACTTTGAATAGGCATATCTTTTTGATATTTATGGTTCATAGAAATTTGAGATTTTCTCATCCCTAACATATCTGTTGTCCATATGAAAGAAAAAGAGTCATATACACTCAAACATGGTGCAGGCAAAGAAGTGTGGCTGCTGTCATGGTAGGAGAATCCCTCTTAATTTTTTGCTCTCTTCTGGTTTTATGAAACTGTCTTAATGTATAGCCCAGCTTGAAACTTGCTGGGTAAAGCAGGCTGACCACAGACTTGTAGCAGTCCTCTTGCCTCTCCCTCTAGGGTGCTGGGATTAATATTTGTTTCTATCTTCTAACCTTGCAAACAATGTGGCTTTTATAGAAAAATTGGAATATATAGAAGAATATTATAAACAAGTTGTTAGCAACCCTATCACTCAGGCAGCCATTGTTAATAGATTAATATGTAAAAACTTAAGTATTGTTGTTCCTTGTGTAGATTGTAATTCGAGTCATGCTATTTTTTTTAAATGTGTTTATGTGCATTTTTGTGTGGCATGTACACTTGAGTGCAGGTGCCTTGGAATCCAGAGGCATTAAATCCCCTAGGAGCTGGAGTTACAGGCAGTTGTCAGTTACCTGATGTGGTTGCTAGGAATTGAACTCAGGTTTTCTGGAAGAGCAATATATGCTCTTAAGTGCTGAGCCATCTCTCCAGTCCCTCACACTGGATTTTTATAGCTTGTTTTCACTAAACTTTGTATTATTAGCATTTCGTTAAGTCATTGATCATTTCTTAATGGAAAATTTAAAAGAAAATAGTGGCCCCTAACCACTGTGGATTTACTATAAATTATTTCTCTGTTTTCACATTCTCAAATTTTTATGAATGGTGTATATTCTTCTCTTTCCTTACTCCTCCCCGAGGCTACTTGTAAGCACTCTTAATAGAGTCATTTTACTACATCAAACCAGCTTTTATGAGCAAGTAGAGGGAACTTGTCAAAATAGTCTCTAGACATCTCACCAGTTAATGTTCCTTCCAGTATTGTGTGAGGATTCTTCTCAGACGTACTTGCCAGCATTGATCATGATTAGTTTTGGGCATTATGTCATAAAATATAGCTGTGCACACATGAAACTACAGAGAGGACATTTGGGGCTTCTTTTCTCATAGTTTAACTTCTCAATACAGAGGAAATGCATGCCATCATATTCAGAACAGCCTTTTCTGTTATCTCAAAATGCTTTGTACTGAAGCTGTGTAGCGCAATGGGCTTGTCCCACATGCCTGAGGCCCTGGGTTCGATGCCCAGTAGTGCCAAACCCACAAAATGCTTTCATTTCCACTACTATGGATGAACCTCCCCTGATCTTATCTGAGGAAAATTTCCATATGTACACGGGACATCCCCTCTCATCCCTCCAGAAGCTCTCTGCTCCTGCCTTACTAATTTCCCTTTCCACTGTGCCGTTGGCATAAATAACATGGCTTGTCTGTAAAGCCAAGTGAAACAGGAAACGTCCTTTACCCTGCACTCTGAGCTACTGCTCCTTTTCCTCTTGCCCCATTCATGTTCATCACATTCATCACGTCACATTCATCAGGTTCATCATGTTCATGGCTAAGCTGGCAAGAGTTTTTTTCTAACTGGGAAGAGTGTTTTTTTTTTTACTGTTGAAGTATAATTTTCAAAGTTAAAAACTTGGTTATTTAAAGTATAAAATGTATCAGTGTCAAATATTTTATTCAGTTAATTAATGGAAGCAGTAAGATGTTAAATTCAGTTCAAAGGAGAATTTGAAAAATAAACAGATGTAAAGAGCTGAGTGTGGTGAGAGAAATTTACTAATATTAAACTGACTGCTTCCTATAAGCCAGTACCTATGACTTAAAAGGTTCAGTCTTTGCTATAGAATGGAAATCAGTTGTATCACTATAAAACAAAATTTTTTTTCTCAGTTATAGGTAAGAATCACTTGCATAACAATTTTTTATAGCTTAACTTCCTACAGAGTTTTAAAATAGCCCAGCTGATGGTGGGTTATGTGAAGGAATAACCCCTCTAGAATCCAGTAATACTTGAGAGTACTCCAGACAATATCCATTATGCCACTGAAATAGTATCAAATCATTTCTTTGGCCACTTTCTAGTCATGGACAGTTTTCTCCTGACAACCCCCACCATACCCATGGCATCTTTAATGGAGGTATTTGTCTTTTGTCTTCACTTAAATTGGCCTCTTGGCAAGATTAGAAAAAGTGAATGTACTTCTTGAAATACTTCTGTGCACCTTTGGCACACCACTTTCACTGGACTTGCTTTGCTTTTGACTCTTTTGCTGGCCTCACTTTCTTTAATAAACCTCTAGCTACAGCAGGCCACCCAGCCTATCTCCAGCCCTGATCTTTCTCACTAGTTCCAGACTCTTAACTGTCTCTATGTACTTTCAGTTCTAGTTCAGGCCTCCATCATTTCAGAAGACTTCTAGAGCACTGGCCCATATTCTGACCTTCTACAGCTGATTCCACTCAGCTACCAGTGTATGCTGTCCATCTTTGGTGAAAAATATCCCAGTTTTTTTCTCCTTCTCTGGAATAGAATCCAAATTGCTCTGGGCTTCAAGACTTTATGTGATCTTGCCTTCACTTCTTACCTCTTCTGTAGTAGTCAAACTGGTCTTTCCATATCATGAACAAAGCAAATTGTTCTAAGGCTATTGACCTTGCTGATGGCTTCCTCCAAGGAGAATAGCCTCTAATAGCAGGGCAGATCTCTGTAAAAGTCAATCAGACATGACTCCCTGACTGTCTAGCTAAAGTAGCTCACACTCCCAGCTTCTTTCTCCCCTTTTTATTTTTTTCTTAGCCCTTGCAGCATCTGACATCCTATTACCAATCTCTAGTTCTTCCTTTCTAGAATGAAGCTTCTTGAAGATAGGAACTTTGTCTTCCACTCTAAGTGCCTAGATTGGAACTTGGTACAGAGTATGTCTTCTCTAAATATTTGCTACTGACTAAATGATGGTTCATCCTGGTTGTGTTCACATCCTCCTGTGGCTTTTCTGGAAAGCCCTACTAGAATAAAAATTCTAGGGGGGGTGGAAATAAAAAAGCCCAGAGCCTTCATAGAACTGCAAACACTGACTAGCTTTGGTTCACTTTTCTCCTGTACACACAAAATTGGAGAAAGGACAGCAGGAACTTAGTTTTGGAGAAGGTTAGGATTATATTTTCAGGAGGCTGGGGAGATGGCTCAGTCTATAAAGTGCTTGTTGTGCAAGCTTGAGGACCTGGATTCTATCCCCATCAGCCACATTAAAAAAAAAAAAAAAAAGTTTCCCAGGAGACCTTTAAACGCTGGGCATGGTGGCCCACACCATGCACTCTGAAGGCAGAAGCAGGTAGATCTGTGAGATCAGGGCCAACATGGTCTACATAGTAAGTTCCAGGCCAGCTGGGGCTACAGGCAGTTTCTGTGTCAACACCCCCCCCCCCCAAAAAAAAAGGAAAATGTTTTCCAGGAGACCTTGAATAGAGGCTCTTGGTATGAGGTCTCAGTTTGGGAAAATAAAATTTGGGAGGAAATAGTGATTGTGGTTGTACAACAGTTTTAAATGTTCTTTAATTTACACTACAATTTTAAAAATGAAGCAAGGTGGCGGGGGGGCTCATAGAACTTTCTAGTAGGATTGTGTATTCCTGATTGTGTATTTTGTTATTTTGTCTTTTCAGAGCTGAGGACGGAACCCAGGGCCTTGCGCTTGTTAGGCAAGCGCTCTACCACTGAGCTAAATCCCCAACCCCATATTTTGGTTGAAATATTTGACATAGCCAGGGCTTCTAGGGTCTAGAGAACTTCATTGAGGGTTTTTAGTCCTTGTGTTTTGTTTTATTTCTGTCTGTGTTTGTCTGTCTGTATTTGGGGAAGTGCATTACAGTAACAAGTATCTGTCCTTCTGGAAAGCTAGAGAATAACTGGCAGAACTCAAGAAGACAAGGGGCTGGCTTCCTTAGCATAGCAGATGAGAAGAGAGGGGCCCATAGCATTTAGCTTGTTTGTGTGAACAGTCACTTACCATCTGTAGAAGTCAGGTCTCTGACTAGGATTATTGGGAAGAGTAAGCTTGAGGTGCTTAGCAAAGTACCTAATGTGGTAAGTAGTAGTAGCTTGGATTTTAATGTCTGGTGGAGAAATGAAAGCAGAAAGTTGAATTTTTAATTCTCAGTTTCCAGGCCTTTCTGCTAACCTAAATGAGAACATGGGATCCCCAAACCCAGTTTAAGAGTCGAAAAGATTATTTGGAGGTTTGGAACTTCTTGGCAATATACATACCTTTTGGAAATGTGACCACTGCAGTATAGTATTATGTGAACCTGAAGATGGGAGTTTTTGGTTTTGTTCATTGTATTGAGCTGGAAGCTAAGGTCCTACAAATGAACCTGATTTGTTAGGTGACTGAGGAAAGAAGGTGTCATCTCTGTCTTGATCTGGCAGGGACATAATGGGAAAAAGAAGACTGAGCTGCACACTTCATGTGCTCTTGATGTAATTCATAATTAGGGAAGAACAAGAGAGAAAGAGAAAGGTCCTCCTTTGTGGTACCATTGCAAAGGACCATTCGCCCCATACCTGACTCACAGGGGCCTTAGCAGCAGAGGCAAAACAAGAGATGGGAGAAATAAGCACCACAATTACTAACATAATGCAGTAGCTCTATAATGTCTGTGTTTTTGTTTTGTTTTGTTTTTACTAACTTCTTTCTATATTCTAGTTTAAAAAGTGGCCATGGAGAACAATGAAACCTCAGTGGACTCAAAATCCATTAGAAATTTTGAACCGTGAGTATTTATTTGTTGTTTTTGTTTGAGGCAAGTTCTCACTCTCCCTGTGACTGACCTGGAGCTCTGTAGCCCAAACTGACCTCAAACTCATAGTGATCCTCCTATCTCTGTCTCCTAATTTCTGGAATTACAGGCATGAATCACCATGCCTGGTGAAACATGCATAAACAGAATCCTGTATAGTCAGAGGACGATGGGTTTGTGTAATATAGCCCACTTTGAGGAATAGGGAAATGTGGAAAATGGGCTTTCAAACTAGAGACTAAGCTGACTTCTGCCTCCAACAGCTGTATGGTTTTATAGAAGCTCACTTCTCTGATTCTTATCTTAACTGACATGACAGGAAAGACTTGGGAGGCCCAAACAGGTTGCTTTGATCTTAGAAGTGCCTATATATTCCCAGCTTTGGGAGTGCTGGCTCTCTATTAAGGCATGTCCCTCTTGGTCTAGTTATCCTTTTGCTGGGAAAGGAGGCAACAGGAGGTTGTGAAGAATTGGCATCCAGAGATGGGAATTAGGATTCTGTGGTCAATTATAGGTTCAGCATCCCTTATTCCTTTTTTTAATTAAAAAATTTTTTTTTAAATTCGTATGTGTGTCTGTGTGTGCACATGTACAGGTATGCATGTACCACAGCATACATGTGGGGGTTAGAGGCCAGCTTTTCACGAGTCAGTTCTCACCACCAACTTGTTTCTGCTGCATAGTGTACCCCAGGCTAGGAGTCAAGCTCCCAGCCACCTTCTGTCTTTGCCACTTATCTCATTTTAGGAGAGCTCTGATTACAGAGGCCTGCCACTACTTCCAGCTTTTTACATGTGTTCCAGGGATAGAACTCAGGTTGTTAGGCTTGTTTGGAAACACTGTTACCTATTGAGTCATCTCCCTGGCCCACAAATTCTAAACACTATGAGTTTATTTTTGTTTCATATAAACTTTATACATGTATCTCAAAGGTAATTTTATATAATATTTTTAGTGTGCCTGTGTTTTGACTATGACCAATCAGATAGGACTGGGTGTAGAATTTTCCACTTGTGGCATGATGGCATTAAAAACTTTATAATTTTGGAGCATTTCTGATTCTACACTTTTGGATTAGGAGTGCTTAGTCTGTACCTGTGTGACCTGAAGATCTAATCACTCAGCTTTTAGAATTTCATTTTTGTCTGTAAATATGAAGCCTTGACCTCCAGCTAAATGTAACAGTTCTTTTCTGACCTTGAACTACTTTCATTTACTACCTTTAATCTTCAACATTGTTTGGAGAATTGTGTAAAATATAAGATACTCTTAAGGTTGAGTGTTGAGTACATGGGCTTAGTATTGATGAGGCACCTCTCACGCCATTTTATGCGGCTGTCGGGAAGTCACAGGATCTATATTTGAGTGTGGACTTTCCAGTGCAGCCATAAATGGGGGGGGGCACTCTTCTGTAAATAAACCCCCACCCTATGGTCTGTTCACAAGTCCAATAAACTTGTTAGGATTTAAAAAAAAAAGAAAAAAAGAACAGAGCTAATGGATACCTTCATTATTCCACCAAAGTTGACCCCATGTTGGCAAATCCTTTGGTCCTTGATTTCTTATTCCTGTTTTCCCCCTTACACTTCATTGTATATATATTTGTATATAACCTACTTCAAGTTATTTTTGGAAAATGTGTTAAAAATTGCCTCTCTTTGGAACGATTAAAAAAAAAAAAGAAAATGTTTACTGACCCGTGACCAACATTTTTGTGTAAGCGACTTCCATACAAATTTTTTCAATTATTGATAATGTTTCTTCTGTTAGTAAGTTCTTCTTTGGCTTAGCTCATAGTTTATGGAACAGTTTAGTGGGAGTCTGAGATAAGAGGGCCCCCATGGGCCACCCTAGGCTATGTATAGCAAGACTCTGAAAAAACAAACAACAAAACCACCAAAGTAAAATAATAAGTATTTTTACCTTGAAAGAGAAACTGTTTCATACAATATGAAAAAATTTTTTTAAATGTGTCAGATAAAATCTTATTAAAATTTAGAGGAAGACTTTGTACTTTGGCTCTGATACAACTGAACAGCTTTTAGCACATTACTTAACCTAGGGAGGTCATTTCCCTCTCTGTAAAAGAGGTTGTGAATTTATACTTTTTTCTTCCCTAGTACTTGGGATCAAACCCACATGAAAATTTAAATGAGGAACACCTATAACACAACGTTGGTGCAGAGATAGCCTTGATCAACTGTTAACTGTTTCTTATAGTTGTTGTATGACTAGATTTGTCATTTCTACCTTTGTAAACTATCATTTAATTTCCATACAGAAAAGTCATACATGGAAGCAAATCAATGGACTCTGGAATATCCTTGGACAGTAGTTACAAAATGGATTATCCTGAAATGGGTTTATGTATAATAATTAATAATAAGAACTTTGATAAAAGCACCGGTATGTATCTGACATAATTTGTAAGACATTTCAAATATTTGTGCTATTTACGTTGGATATTATATAAAAAATGATGTCAGTGTGTTGTCATTAATAAGTTGATAAAGAATAACCACAGAGTAAGCAGAAGGTGGGACCTTACAGGCCCTAAGATAATATGAACTCTTTTTTACCATGTTTAGAACCCCTGCCTCTCCTGTGACTGAAAGATTGAATTTGCTATTGCCTGATATAACTCATGAGGCAGAGCGATGTGAGGAAGAAAGGATTTATCAGAAACAAGCCCACGGGGTGGAAGATGAACAGCTAGCCCTTGAGTTGTCTTCCCTAGAAGGCTGAGAAAGTGTTTCTAGCATCTTTTGTTGGAGATGCTATCTCAGCTCAGACAAATGGGCCCTTAGGTCATTCTTTGGCCAGTTCTAGAATTCAGGTTAGAGCATCTTATCTCTGTCTGGAGATTACTGAGTAATCCCCAACCTGTGACCTCTGAATCTAAGAAAAGGTGATACTTTCCAGTTGTAGGTCTGTGTGTCTGGCTTCAGGCATGTCGGTCTCTCATTTACACTTTTACAACTACATTTTAGTTAGTTGAGTCCTTTCCCCTAAACTGAAAAGGAAGCGTGTACAGTGAAAGGGTTGGTATTTTAAACTAATTCTACAGTTAGTCACTGAATATGGAACAGGGGTCTGGAGAGATGGATCTGTGGTTAAGAGCACTGACTGCTCTTGCAGAGGACCTGGGTTCAGTTCCTAGCACCCACATGGGGGTTAACAACCATCTGTAACTCCAATTTCAGGGGGTCCAACACCTTCTTTTGGCTTGTGTGGACACTGTGTGCATGCAGGCAAAAACACTGATACATATTAAATTTCTTAAATAGGGAATGGGGGTAGTAAAAGAAGAGAAGAAAGAGGACAAAGAAAAGGGGTGTGTGAAACTGCTGGGGATGTAGCTCAGTTGGTAGAGTGCTTCCTTATAGAAGCATTTTTTTCTACATTTATACGTGCCTTGTTATTTGAATGGCTTTATGTTACTGCATCCCCTAAATATGCTATTTGTTTACTTTGCACAATCTGCCATATGAGTGAGCATTTTGACTCTTTCCTGGTTTTCATCTTTAAGATGATGCTGCAATCATTCTTTCAATTAATATGTTAGAATTAAGTTTTAATGTGAGAAACTAGCTGCAGTTGGTGTAGTTGAGGAGAATAGAAGGAAGGAATCTAGACCTAACTGGAAAGATAAGTAGGCCTTTATGTTAAACTTGTTCAAAGCAGTGAGAGCATAGTTGAAATGGGTCTTGGGTCAGCATTCTGCCATTTTTATTGCTTTTGCCTAGAAGTTGAGGTACCAACTTTAACCATTAAATAAAAGACAAAATACTTTGTTCCTTTTTGTGTTACAATTTTAAGTTTACATCTAGATGTTTCTGCTCATTTTATAATGAAGATTTGTCTTCCCGTAGAAGTAGAAATTTAGGTCAGTAGCCTGACTTTGGCCCTGGAGTGTGCTTCTTTCTGGTTGGAGATTTGAAGGTGTGGCAGTGTTCTCTGTTCTGCAGTGTGGTTTTGAACCAGCATCAGGGGTTCATCTTATCACAAAGCTGTGTGTCCTTAGCCTCTCCAGTAGCAAAACCTTGATGAGCTGATTCTCATTTTATATGTCCATAGTAGAAATTTCAGCTTAGGGGAAAAATCATTTATAACTACATTTTTCAAAGCTTATTGTTAGTGTTTTAGAGATACAGACATTTAGACATTTACCCAGTTCTTAGGTATGTTTCCTCCATGATGTCAGCAGTTTTGAAATTTGATTACATCATACAGTCTCTATTTATGTGGAAGGCACTAGAAAGAAGTGGTGAAAAGCCCAAGACACTAACTTTATCACTTTGTATTTTTAAATCACATTTTATTTGCTGTGGGGTTGGGGTAGGGGGGGGTGCATGCTGTAGCATATGCCATAGCACATGTGTATGAAGGTCAGAAAAACTGCTCGAGTTGGCTCTTTTCTTCCACCATGTGGGCCCCGAGAAATGAATTCAGGTCATCAGGCTCTAACTTTATCCCTTTGGGCAAGTCTGTTTCCTTCCTTCTTCTAAAACCAAGCCTCTCTCAAGCTACTATACCACTGATCTGTGTCTCTAGCCCTAGTCAGGTTTCCTAGCTCATCTGTGCCATACGTTCCACATCTATACAAATGAGACTAATAATAATCATCTTACAGTGTTAGAAAGATTAAAGATTACCCAAGTAGCAGAATACCTGAGAAGCAGTATTAATTTGGTAATATTTGTGGGTTTCCTTTTTTTAACTGAAAAGATGTGGAAATAGTACTGTATCTTAAAATTGATTCAACATAGAATCAAATATAGAAACAAATAAGCAGCATAAGCTAGGCATGGTGGCCCCTGCCTATAATAGCAGCACTTGGAAGGTTGAAGCAGGATTGTTGTAACTTCAAGGCCAGGTGGGACTACAGTGTAAGACCTTGACTATAAGTAAATAAACAAAATGGCAACATCTAGTGCTCCATGGTATAAATGAATCATAATTTATTAAACCAAAGCTTTTGTTTACTGGTGAAGCTGTTGTGACGATCCCTGTGGTGAAAGCACTGCAGCAGCTAATAGAATCTTCTCTCTTGAATGGTGAGAGATTAAAGACTGTCTCCATGATCAAAATAAGTAGAGTTTTCATATTTAAAAGGAAGAATTTATTGATTGTGTGGATTGCTGCATAGTTCATTCATCAAAGTCATTATAGATGTAATTGAAAAAGTTCTTTCTGTCCCAAGGGATGTCACATCGATCTGGTACAGATGTAGATGCAGCCAGCCTCAGAGAAACATTCATGAACTTAAAATATGAAGTCAGGAATAAAAATGATCTTACCTGTGAAGAAATTTTGGAATTGTTACTCAATGGTAAGAAACCATTAAAGAATGACCTTTAGAAGCTTCTTTGTGTAGTGAATGATGGTTAATGCAAAAACTCACAACTGGTCACAGTGCAGAGAATAAGTGTCTGGAATGCTCAACCACACCCTTCAAGCCTCAGGGAACAGCATGGAAAATGGGGCAGAAAGATTGTGAGAATCAGAGGGAAGACCTGAGTGACATGATAGGACTGCTGCACTGGTGAACTCAACAGCAGCTGTGATTGCCTGCACAAGGCCAACCAGTCAGCATTCCAGCATGGAAGGGAGAAGGGCTTATGGGCTCCCACCCCTAGCTGAGGAGCTATGGACTGTTGATGGCTTTGGGGGAGGAGAGTCAGTTTTCTTTAAGGGTGTGGTCCCTGGTAGGTCAACCATGATCCAGAGGATAACCCTACACACCCATTGTATACGGCCAACACAAGTTGGAAATATTGGGGCCTGAGAGATGGCTCAGTGGTTAAGAGCACTGGCTGCTCTTGTAGAGGACCCAGGTTCGATTCCCAGCACCCACATGGTGACTAACAACTATCTGTAACTCCAGTTCCAGGGGATCTGACACCCTCTTCTGTCCTCTGTAGGCAGTTGCATGACACAGGTACACGTACATATGTGCAGGCAATATACTCATACACATAAAATAATTTAAAAAATTCTCAGCCAGGCATGGCGGTGCACACCTTTAATCCCAGCACTTGAGAGGCAGAAAATAAAAATAAATATTTATTGCAGGCAGATCTCTGTGAGTTTAAGGCCAGCCTGGTCTACATAGCTAGTTCCAGGTCAGCTGGGGCTACAGAGAGATGCTGTCTCAAAAAGACCAAAAAAAAAAAAAAATTCTCAAAGCATTAAAATGTATTAAAAAAAGAATGACCTTCATTGGGCAATTTTTACATTATGGTCTAACTACAATTATATAGATAATAAAGTATGAGGATTATAGAATTATATTACACATCATTCTGTTCTTATATATTTTAACAAAAAGTGAAAAAAAAAAAAAGTTCTAGCCACCCTTTAAAATGGTTCTAGACATGTGGCTTTGCCCAAGTTGGGTTTAGATGATCTTGTAGTCCCTTCCAGTTTTGATTTCTTCATCTTGCTGGTAATGGTGGTGTAAACTAGTCATCCCAGAACTCAGGAAGCTGAGGCAGGAAGACCATGAATCAGAGGCCATCTTAGTCTAATTAGAAAACCATAAAAAGCAAACAACAACAATTTGTTTATATTATTCTCAGTGTGCTAAGACCACTGAATAAAGTTACAATGGAATTTTTCATTTTATATTATTGTAAATGTCTTTGCAGTTTCTAAAGAAGATCACAGCAAGAGGAGCAGCTTTGTGTGTGTAATTCTAAGCCATGGTGAGGAAGGAAAAAATTTTGGAACAAATGGATCTGTTGACCTGAAAAAATTAACTAATTTCTTCAGAGGAGATTGTTGCCGAACTCTAACAGGAAAACCCAAACTTTTCATTATTCAGGTAGTTTATAACTGGGCACCTTGGTTGCTGAGGATTAATAAGAGATAAACTTATCAGTATTTTTTGTTCTGGAACTACAGAACTATTGTTATGTTCTTCTTTATTTAAACTAACAAAGTATGCACTACATTTCAATATTAGATTTATATCAGAAAGATTCAATATAATTAACATCAATTTTACCTGGCGTTTTTATTTCTTAGATGTAAACTATGTATGTCCACATAAATTGTTTTCAAAGAAAGTTTGTTTTCTGGCCTGCAGGCCTGCCGGGGTACAGAGCTAGACTGTGGCATTGAGACAGACAGTGGCACTGAGGATGACATGCCATGCCAGAAGATACCTGTGGAGGCTGACTTCCTGTACGCATACTCCACAGCACCAGGTAAGAGCTTTAGAGAATGTTGTGTTTGGATTTTAAATGAATTTTACATTGTGACTGATTACAGATTGAATAGTAAAGACTGTTCTAAGGCTGTTAACGATTTTTATATCTTCCCCTGCAAAAGATTTTTATGTTCCCTAAAAAAATAACTGACTCGTGTATATTTGTGGTACCTTAACCATAGAATTCTCAGAAAGTTAATAGAAATCAAGCAGAATCAGTCATGAACTTAAAACCCGAGAGTAAACTACTACAAGGCAGCAGGCTAGTCAGAGCTTTACCCACTTAGAGTACAAGAGAGGTACAGTAGTCCCCTCTTATTCAGTCTTGTTTTTTGCATTTTAAGTTACCCAGGGTCAACTGAAATCCGAAAATATCAAATGGAATATTCATAAATAAATAATTCATAGGTTTTAAGCAGTCTGAGTAGCGTAATGAAATCTTGCTCCATCCCTGCTGAGACACAAGTCATCCCTTTGTCCAGCATTCGCAGCTGTCTGTCTGCTCACTGGCCACTCAGTAGCCATCTCAGATAACCCCAAGATAATCGCCATGCTGTGTTCACATCATCAGTATTACTTAATAATGCCACCAAAGCACAAGAGTATTGATGCTGGCGATTTGGATATGCCAAAGAGGAGCCAAAAGTGCTTCCCTTAAAGAGACTATAAGAAGAAAACCAAATCAAATACTAAGGTTTCTAAGATGGACAGTAAGAACAGATGCTCTCTCTATGAAGTTGTGAAGAGGAAAAGTGAAATTTTTACCATTTTTGTTGCCACATATCAAACTGCCAAAGTTATGACCATAGTGTATAATGAGTGCTTAGCTAACATGGAGAGGGAAGACAGGGCTGAGGAAGTGGCTCAGTTGGTAGAGAGCTTAAGGACTGAATGCAGCTCCCTAGCATCCATATAAAAAGCTGAACATCATAGCCCATGCCTGCAATCTCAGTGTTGGGTAGGTGGAGACAGGCAGAACCCTGGGGCTTACTAGCCAGGCAGCCAGCCAGCCTTGCCAAATCAGTGAGATACAGATTCAGTGAGACACTATCTTAAAAAAATAATAATTGAGTTTTGGCCACCACACACATATCTCGCTCTTTCTCTCTCTCTCTCTCACACACACACACATATATACACATACATACAGGTCCATATTCACATATTTAATGCCTTTTCCATTTGAGAGAGAGAGAGGAGAGAGAGAGAGAGAGAGAGAGAGAGAGAGAGAGAGAGAGAGAACAGAATCTGTAGAGTATGGGCATCCGCTGGAGATCTTTTTACATTTTAAAATATACTGGGCCGGCATGATAGCTCAGCTGGTAAGGCACTTGCCACCAAGCCTGATGGCCTGAGATCATCTCTGGGATCTATGTGGTAGAAGGCAGGAACTGACTTCTGCAGGTTCTCTGACCTCCATACACGCAGTGTGGCACACACATGCTCATAGGTCTGCCCACCCTTCCCCCACACACTAAATAAATAAAATCTACTCATGTTGTTTCCTATATCCTCTAGGTATCTTTCCAAAGTACTTCTTTTTAAAATTTTTATTTATTTATTTATTTATTTATTTATTTATTTATTTATTTATTTATTTTTATGTACAAGTGTTATGCCTGCATGTGTACAAGTGCACCCATGTCGTGCAGGGCCCACAGAGGACAGAAATGGGCATCGGATTCCTTGGAACTGGAGTTATGGATGGTTGTTAGTCACCATATGGGTGCTGGGATTCAAACCTGGATATTCTGTAAGAACAGCCTGTGCTTTTACTGCTGAGCCATCACTCCAGCCCCACCCCCTTTTTAAAAAAAATTATTTTGATTTATTTCAGTCAAAGTACTTTTAAATTAAGCACAATGAGTCCAACAGTTAATCTGAAAATAAATACCAGAGAGCACACTACTTTCCCTTTGGGGGCTTTTTGAGTACTCTTTATTATATTTCATTCAGATGCCTCATAGGCAAACTAATAAGATTCTTTTGTGGGGGGTGGATTTGAGGTAGGGTATACTTGTAGCCCCAGCTAGCCTGGAACTTTCTATGTAGACGAGGCAGGCTTTAATCTCATAGAGATCGCTTGCCTCTGCGTCCCAAGTGATGGGATTAAAGATGTGAGCCAACACACCTGGCTTCATGACATTCTTAAAAGTGTGCATATGTAATAAGATGAGATCTGATTGAAACACCATGAAACCTAGAAGGATCTTTTGTATGTCTTTGCTTTTGCATGTATCTTCCCCATGCTTACCTGTTTTTCCTTTATGGGAAAGGGAAATCAGAAAGTAAAATTCTTAGCAATTCAGTGGCAGTTCATTCATAACTGCCTTTTCCTAATGAAAGCAGAGAGGTATGCACAATACATATTTTCCCCTCATCACCTCAACATCATTTCTCCTCAAACCAAAAGTGCTTTGTTTACTTGTTTGTTGCTAATAAGATTGCGGAAGTTTATGCTTATTTTTATCATTGTGGTTATATAATAATTTATAGAATCTGCTGAAGTCAGATGTCCATGATATTTTGGTTGTATTTTGCTTTGTAGGTTACTATTCCTGGAGAAACTCAAAGGATGGATCCTGGTTCATCCAGTCACTTTGCGCTCTGCTGAATGAATATGCACGCAAGCTTGAGTTTGTGCACATTCTTACTCGTGTTAACCGGAAGGTAGCAACAGAATTTGAGTCCTTTTCTTTTGACTACACTTTTCATGCAAAGAAACAGATTCCATGTATTGTGTCCATGCTCACAAAAGAACTTTATTTCCCTCCCATTTAAATCTAATCTGATGTTCCAGGTGGTAGTTAGAACCATGCCACACTGCCCAAGCAATAGAACCGTAATACAGCTACCTCAAACTCAACATCAGGTAGTTGAAATTGAATTTAATTAGGAACAAATAAATGTCGATAATGGTACTATAATTATGAGAGGAATTTCTAAATTTACTTTTTTTTATAATTAGCAAGATTTGATGATACTATGAATTTTCAAGTGATTATGAAGTTAAATGTTGCAGTGATGGACTTTAATGACACTCTACACACATTAAGACTGTGCATCTAGTTTTTGTTCAGCTATAGAAATGATGATATAAAATTATGTGTCTTAAAACTTAGATCCATGGGCGGGGTCAAGTGCTTGACCCTTTATAAGTGATATATGGAAATAATGAGTCGGCTAAATTTTTAGATCATTCATCATTAGCTCATAGTTTTGTGATTTTTGTCCTGAGCATGTCTTTGTTGTAAAAAAAAGAAATTATAAACTGAAGGCATGGTGGCGTACACCTTAGTCCCAGCACTTGGGAGGCAGAGGCAGGCGAATCTTTGTGAGATCAAGGCTAGCCTGGTCTATATAGTGAATACCAGGCCAGCTGGGGCTACAGGAAGACCCAAATTATGTTTTATTTTTAAAAAGAAACTAAATATTTTATTTGAGAGAAAATATGAGCAAACGTGCTTGATTCTTTTGAGGCTAGCACACATCAATAAAGATACCCAGTACAAGGTGCTGAGATCACCAGTATATTCTTCTTACTTGCTGTTACACAAATCAGATGAGATCTATAGACCAGCAAAATAGCTAAAGGGCTATTATGTAAAAACCTCAAATTGTTGATTAATAGAATGAAATGAAGAAATTCTGCAGGAACATCTTAAAATACCATTTGTAAAGTAGACAGTAAAATGTAAGGAAAGAAGAAATGAATCAGCTGGGTACTCTGTAACTGGAGAGAGGATGGTTGGAGCCAGAGCAAAGGCGTGGCACGGCCATGGGAAAGGACCACAGCTGGTTCCACCTTGTGAGTGCTGATTGGTGTGGACAATGTCCCCAAGGTACAAATCACACAAGAAAAAGGGAACCAGATCAGAGCCTTCTGGAACCAGCTGTGCTGAGAGTCTCACAATCCAAGAGCTTCTTGTAGTAAAGTTTGTAAGCATGCTACTTATTTTCTGTTGAAGTTTACAATTCAAGGAAAACAGTGATGATACTTGTACTGTCACCAGAAAGTAAAGGACCATCGCATACAGGACTTGGGACGCATTCAGTCACAGCCCCTCCAGCCTACCTGGGGAAGCTGCAGGGAAGCCCACCCCACCAGGGAGGCCAGACTCCAGACTTCTTGACTCCGGAGGTACTGAGTCACTGCTGAGCGCCCTGCTATGTCCGGCATTTTCATGTAAGCGTCCTTTATGCTCAAAGAAAGGAACTCTCGTTTAAAATTGACAGATTTGTTTCTACCGGATCTACTAGTTATTTCTAAGTAAATGTAGCATGTGATAGTATTTTAAGGTGTATTCCTATGTGACAATTTTATAAAGATTTGTTACCTTGCATTTTTTTGAAACATTAAATTTGAATTCAAAACCATCAGTGTATTTGAGGGGTTTTGTTGATATTTTTGATGTTGTGATAACTAAATGAAGTTTAAATATTTTAACCAAAAACTTAATTTGGGAGAGTCAAAGAGGATGTAGGCAGGACCCTGAAGTGCTGGCAGATGACCAAGACTTAAAAAGGGGTGAATACGGTTCAAACCTAGAAAAAGAATATAGGAAAGTGGCATGGTCTTGTTCTAGTTTGCTTTCTGTTCCTGTGATAAAATACTGACTAAAACCAACTTGGGGAGAAAAGTATCTTTCAGCTTACATCTCCTAGGTCACTGTCCATCACTGAGGAAAGTCAGAACAGCAACTCAGGGTGACAACCTGGAGGCAGGAACTGAAGCAGGGGCTGCGGAGGAATACTGTTTACCACCTCTGGCTTTCTCAGCTTACTTTTCCTCTACAGCCCAGGCCCACCAGCCCAGGAAGAGCACTGCCCACCGTGGTCTGGATCCTCCTACCTCAATTAGTAATCAAGAAAATGTCCTACAGACATGCCCACAGGCCAATCTGACAGAGGCAATTTCCAGGTGACTCTAGTTTTGTATCAAGGAGACAAAAAAGCTAATCAGCACAGGGGCTTCCAATATCTATTTAATAAACATAATTACTATAAAGTCAGAAACAAAACTGAATCGAGGAACTCCTATTCCCAAGAAAAAGTGGGATGAAAGTCTTTGTTCAGCCTCTTAAACCTATGGATCACTAATGTTCTGAGAAAAAGCTAGCCTGTTTTAATTTTCCTGCTATATAAAGAAGTCTCAGATATTTCAAAAAAGACTAGATCAACAGCCCAATAGAAAAATGGGCCTAGTCTTGAACAGACCACTGAAAAAAGGAAGAGCGCATGTCCCTTAAGTTCAGATAAAGAACTTATCCCCATGATAATAAAGAGAAATGTAAATAAGGTATCATCTACTAAACTGACAAAAAATTTTTCCTGTTTGGTAACGTCTTTTTAAGGGTAAGGAAATGTGTATTCTTCCATTGATGGGTGTATACAATGATGTGATCCCTGTGGAGAGGATCCTGGCCATACCTATTGAATTCTTTACCAAAGGTGTGATCTCTGTGGAGGGGGCTCTGGGTGTATGCCACAATGTGATCCCAGTGGAGAGGACTGACCATACCTACTGAATTCTTTACCAAAGATGTGATCTCTGTGGAGGGGGCTCTGGGTGTATGCCACAATGTGATCCCAGTGGAGAGGACTGACCATACCTACTGAATTCTTTACCGTTTGAGTAGTAGTCTCATTTCTTGGACCCAGCTTATGCACATATCTGTACACGGTTAAAATTAAATACAAAATTTTCATCACAGCATTTTTTTTTTTTTTTTTTTTTGGTCTTTTTGAGACAGGTTTCCCTGTAGCCCCAGCTGGCCTGGGACTTGCTATGTAGACCAGGCTGGCCTCAAACTCACAAAGATCCGCCTGCCTCACCAGTGCTGGGATTAAGGCGTGCAACACCATAACCAACCATCACAGCTTTTTTTTATGGCTTAATAATAAAAAGGTTAACAGGTCAAAAAGGTTAATTACTCAGCTGGAGAGATGGCTCAGCAGTTAAGAGCACTGGCTGTTCCTGCAGAAGACCTGTTTTTGAATCCCAGCACTCACATGGCTGCTAACAACCATCCATAACTAGTTCCAGAGGATCCAACACCCTCTTATGTCCTTGGGCATTGCACGACACAGGTGCACTTTCATACACACAGGTATAACACTCATACACATAAGAATAAAATAAAAAAATTTTAAAAGAAAGGTTAAATACACATGCATCCACACAGGAGATAAAGGAGGTATACAGCAGAAAATGAGAAAGTTGTGATTTTTGGTATTTTTTTGTATTTCAAGTGGGAGAGATTTGAACATGTATAATGTTGATGGCAAACCTCCAACTAGGAGAAAGATTGAAAATACTAGAGGGACAAGTGGCTGACAGGGTAGGGCTGAACACCCAAGAAGGGTGAATCAACAGTTACCTGTGCAGTGTGGAGAAGAGAACCTTGGAAAAGTATGAGAGGCTAAGTGAGAATAAAGTTGGTCCTCTGTGAGAGCAGCCAGTGCTCTTAACTGCTCAGCCATCTCTCCAACCCAGATTTGTAGTCTTTGTGATAGGAAGTTCCCTGTGGTAGTTTATTTTCTGTGAAGCAGAAGACAAGGACTCACCCAAGGTTAAGGAAGTGGTAGTTGAATCTAGGGTTAGAAGAGCAAAGATTTAAAGCAATCAGTATCAAGACTGGAGGAGAAAGTTGACCCAGAGAAGATTAGTAAGATTGCTAAGCAATGTTCAGGGGCCCCACTGAAACCAACAATTATAAATGTGCCATGGTACCAGCGTCCCCGTGGTCTGATTTATCCAGTAACACCCAACTGGTTCGTGTTGGCATGCATAGTGCCTGTCTTAGCTTTACCTAACATTGGGCTTTTACTCTCATTGTGTGAATTGATTGATGGGAAAGAGGAGGTAGAAGGATCAACCAAAACAGGATATTTGAAAAACCCGTAAGGAAACCTGATACTTGGTATGGTAGTTTGAATGAGAATGTCTCCCGTAGACTCCCAAGTATTTGAACACTTGGTCCCCAGTTCGTGGCACTGTTTGGGGAAGGTCATGGAATCTCTAGGAGGTGTGGCCTTGCTGAAGGAAGCAGGTCACTGGGGGTGGGCTTTGAGAGTATATAGCCTTGCCCACTTTCAGTCTGGCTCTCTCTGTTTCCTGTTCCTGCTTGAAGATGCGATTGCCCAGCTTTCTGCTTTGGCTCCTTTCTGCTGCCATGCCACCCCTGCCATATGGACCCTTACCCTCTGAAAACTTAAGCCAAATAAACTCTTCTATAAATGCCTTGGTCATGGTGTTTTATCACAGCAACAGAAAAGTAACTAATACACTTGGTATGCTGTTCTGATACTGAGCATTAAGCCTGGAACCTTCCCTATGCTTGCATTTTGTTTATCACTATTGAGCTTATGGCCCCAGCACTTTTTAATTTTTATTATGAGAGAGTCTCACCAAGTTCAAGGCTGGCCTTGAACTCACTAGCCCAGTTAGGCCTTGAACTTGTGATCAATCCCCTTGCCTTCTGAGTAGCTGGTATTACAGGTCCCACTGTACTAGGCATGTACATTTATTTTAAAAAGAAAGGGGAACCAGTTTCAAGGTTATGCAAAATGATTCATTGAATTGATCCACAGACTCAGCCAGACAGGAAATGAAAACAAAGGGGTCCAACTCTAGGAAATGAGGGGTCCATGACTCTGATCCTGAAAATTTTGAAGATCTTTTATAGTGGTCTTACTAGGTGATGGTTTACTCAGTTTTTGTCGTGTGTGTGTGTGTGTGTGTGTGTGTGTGTGTGTGTGTGTATTGGTGTTTATTTTGAGACAGGGTCCCCAGTTGCCTTGGAATTCCCTGTGTAGACCAGGCTGGCCCTGATCTCACTGGCCTGCCTCTGCTTCCTGAGTGCTGGGAGTAAAGGGGTGCACTTTTGTCTTCTTAACAGGAACAACTCAGCCAAGAATCCTAAACAATTTAATCTGAAGTTTATAAAGCCAAGCAAAATACAGTAAATTCTAGGAAGAAATTGGGAGTGAGCTGACCTGAAGCAGTAGCAGCACAGTGGGGTTTACATACATGTTTTTTGTTGTCTTGGTTTTTTTGTGATAGGATCTCATGTAGTTCAAGCTGGCCTCAAACTCACTGTAAATAAGAATGAACTTTGTCGACTCAAAAGCATAACTCTCACCTCAAAGGGGATAAGAGATAGTTTATTCTGGAGCCAAATATGAGTGATCGTGGGCCGGGAACACAGATTCAGGTTACCCTAAATTCCATGTTCCAGCCTGGTAATGGTTGTCTTACATTTTTATAGTAACAATAAAGAAAAGTCATAAATCAAGACATTTTTCAAATACACTGGTGGATACATTCAGTAGGCAGGTTGGCCTACTGAAGTGGGAGCAAAGTGGGAGGGTTCTTACTATAGGTCTCAGATGTTATCTGATGACATTCTTAGCTTTTGGATTGTTGAGACCTGGTGGTCTGCTACGTTAATACATTCTAAAAGGTTTTTATCACAGAATGTTAGATCATAAACAGAGGTGGGTAAGGAGTGGCTGTTTAGGGGGCTAAAGATGGCCTGAGATAAATGGTAATTAGACTCTGGATTTGCAACATTCCAGACTCTCCACTTCATTGAAGTTCTAATCAGTTGATCAGTCTTGTAGGAGAAAGTCCAGTTTGAAGACAGAAAGGTTTTTTTCTGGACTTTTATTCACACCTTAAACTCCTGTTTCTATCTCCTAAGAGTTAGGGTTACAGGCATGTGCAACCATACCTAGCTTGTATTGTGGATTTTTAAGAAGTTTTTAATGAATTTTTATGAGGTGGGTGGCATAATCATTGGGGTAAGGTGACCATTTTCCCCTCTCAAACCAAGGTGGACCAAATCTCCCTTCTAAGACAATTCTTTCCATGATCCTCTTTAAAATAAAGGAGAAGGGGCTAGAGAGATGGTGCAGCAGTTAATAGCACTGGCTGCTCTTGCAGAGGACCCAGGTTTGGTTCCCAGCATTCACATGGTGGCTGACAACCATTTGTAACTCCAGTTCCAGGGGATCCAATGCCTCTTCTGACCTGGGCATTGCACAACACGGGTACACTTACATGCATGCAGGTAATACGCTCAAATACATAAAATGTAAATAATAAAATAGTCTTTAAAAAAATAGAGGCAAAACCACAAAGCAAATGATATTATAATGAAACTGGGATTTCTTGAGGATGCAGACCCTTTGTTTTAATATGTACACTGTGGTTATTGGAAAAGTTTCTTGGTACTTGGTTTCTGATACATGGGGAAGAACCTAACTGCAGCTTCAAAGATGTTTAACCACTGAGAAGCATTCTGGCTAACATAGCTGCTAAGAAACAGCTGCAGTTTCCTTGGCCCCCTCACATCTA